AATACTGTCAACAATAAAGATAAATTAAGAAAAAAAAATTAAAAAGCCAGTAACTTCATAATTGACAAATAGTTTGATAATGCACTTTGTATTAACACACAAAGATTATTATTTTTTATATTAAAAATAATTTTCTATTAAACTGCAAAGACCGTTACCTTTTCATTTTGAAACTTTCCAGAATCCTCCTTTTAAAATCATTTTTTTAGCCCTTGTGTCTATTTTTATTTTTTTTTAATATATCTTTATTGATTTCAGAGAGAGGAAAGGAGAGGGAGAGAGAGAGATAGAAACATCAATGATGAGAGAGTCATTGATCGAGCCCTCAACCCGGGCATGTGCTCTGACCGGGAATCGATCCCAAGTCGATGCTCAACCGCTGAGCCACGCCCCGCCGGGCTGTGTCTGTTTTTAGAGCATGAGGCATTCTAGTGTGGACTTTCTCTTTCTATGTGCTATTTTTAAATTAAATGTGTTTGGGTGACACTGGTTAATAGCAAGTTTCACGTGTACAGCTCTGTTATACATCATCCGTATATTGCACTGTGTGCTCACCACCCCAAGTCTGGTCTCCCCCTGTCACCGTAGATTTGACCCCCTTTACTCCCTTCCTCCTCTGCCTCCCTCCTTCCCCTCCAGTAACCACCATTCTCTTGTCTGTGTCTTTGGGTTTGTTCCTTTCGTTTGCTGCTTTCTGTTTCATATCCCACATATGAGTGAAATCATATGGCTCTTGTCCCTTTCTTTCTGACTAATTTCGCCTAGCGTGACACTCTCACGATCCATGCGTATTGTCGCAGATGGCAGCATTTCATCCTTTCTGAAGGCTGAGTAGTAGTCCACTGCATAGTGCACCGCAGCTGCTTTACCCAGTCATCCACCGAAGGGCACTCAGGTTGTTTCCATGTCTTGGCCATTGTGGGTGATGCTGTAATGAACAGAAGATTTTCGTACGAGTGAGGGGCTTTGCGAGGACTTACTGCCCCATAAGCTCTGCGCTCCGTCTAATTGCAGAGAAATTCAGCCCCCTTACAGTTAGCTTTACGGGCTTTAATGAATTACAGCCACAGTAAAGGATGCATTTGGGTTCAATGCTGACTGTCTACCCTTTCCCAGCACCTGCATTTTAATACATTATATGCTGTTTTGTATTATGGGGAATAAAATCTGATTGGTTAAAATAAATATCTCTGTCTTTAAAGACTGAGGTGAAAGGTGGGGCTAGCAAAAATGCTAATGAAAAAGATTAACATCAGTCTCTTAATTAGCTAATTAATTAATGTGCTATGATTTCTTATAGGAGAAATACCAACGTGAGCAGGAGAAACTAAGGGAAGAGTGGCAGAGGGCTAAGCAGGAGGCTGAGAGAGAGAATTACAAGCTTTTGAATGAGGTAGCGTTGGAACATGTTCTTCCTTCTCTATCTTGTTGGTGAAATCAGCTGAAAAATGGAAGATTATACATTTCACTTGGCTTTTCTCACACACTCACCTACATAGCTCTTTGAAAAATACAATGAGCTCTGATTTTCAGAATTTTGCTTTGATGTGTCAACATTTCTCCTAATTTCTCTACTGAATAGTTCAGTTATTCTATCAAGAGACCATGAGTGCGTTTTTCTAAGTTACATCTTTGTCACCTGTGTGTGGCTTTGTTAGTGATAAAACTTAGCATCCTTTCAAGTAGAATCCTGGGCCAACTAAAATTGACGATAGACATACCTTTATGAAATTATAGAAATACACAAAAATTTTTCCCCTCTGCTCATACAGGAGCTAATGGTCCTAAACTCAAACAGCATTGTGTTGACCACCCGGGAGCCCGCTGTTGCCACCTTGGAAGCCGCCTGGGGCGAAGGGTCCAAGTCTTCCGACAGGGAAGGAACCCGAGCAGGAGAAGAGGAGAGGAGACAGTGGCAAGAGGAAGATGTGAATGAAGACCAAAGAAAGAAGCTGCAGGAACAACTCACTCTTGAGAAAGAGAGAGAATTGAAGGAGCAACAATATCAGGAAGAGCAGGAGGAAATACGGCGCCAGGCAGAGGAGCAGGAGCGCCAGGCAGAGGAACAGAAGCGCCAGGCCGAGGAGCAGAAGCGCCAGGCCGAGGAGCAGAAGCGCCAGGCCGAGGAGCAGAAGCGCCAGGCCGAGGAGCAGAAGCGCCAGGCCGAGAGAGAGAGGGAAACGTCAGTGAGAATATACCAGTATCGAAGGTCTGTTCCCGTGCTGAAGGGTACTCGTGGTTTTTCAATTGGCTTGGCTTAGCTGTATCCATTCCCCACTTCAAAGGCACCTAATTGGTTTTCCTGCTCCCCACCATGCATTCTCTACACAAGTGTCCACAAACAGCCAGATTGAACCCTTGTCATTGTAAATATGACCCTGTCACCTTTCTTTCCTACTCAGTGTCTCCAAACGGCTTCCCTTCACATTAGAACACCACCTAAAGTTCCCATGGCCTTAGAAGGCTTTTGTGAACTGGCCCTTGGGCCTACCTGGCTTCCGATGACCCCCCCTTACGTGGTTTGTTATAGCGGCACTGTCCTTTTACTTTCTTGAAAATGCACAACATAGTCTCCCCCTGGGTTTTTGCGTTTTCTAACCCCTGTGCCTGGAGAAGTGTTCCCTCACATGTTTGTTGTCTTACTCATTTTGTTTATGTCTGAACAAGTGCTACCTTCTCAGACCTTCCAAAATGCCTAATCTAAAAGACATGCCTCTTCCTACCCCTTTTCTCCGTGTGCCCTTCCCTGCTTTATATTATGCATTTATTTGCTTGTCAGTTGGCCTGCATGCCCCTCTAAAATGTAAGCATTAGGAGGCCAATAAGTTTGTTTTGTTTCCCTAGAACCCTACTGGGTCATAGCAGGCACACAGCATGTGTTTGCGGAATGAATTGCAAATGTCTGTTGGTAGCAGTAGGTCTGTTTTCTGCAGTAATTGATTGAAATATTTCTGAGTGTTTAGTTTTCAACCAAGAGACCATTCTCATAAAGATGCTAGAATAACATGATTTTATCTATTTCTTAAACCCAGGGAAGAGGCATCAAAGTCTTTTATTTTGATCATAAACTTTTTCCATCTTCCAGGCCTGTTGATTCCTATGATATACCAAAGGGAGAGGAAGAATCTTCAGGTTTGCTTCCTAGTGACAGGTGTGTAGAACACTTTCGTTGTTATTTGGTTGCAGACATTGGCTTCACATGAATTTTTTTGCCAAGGTGTTTTGTGGAACTACTATAGCTCTGGATCGTTTATGGGAAGCAAAGAGAACTTGCTGGTTGATATTTAAAACCACCCCTCAACTTAGTAACTTAATTTGTGATATTGTGGGTCAGCATTTTTGGCTGAACTTAGTTGGCAATTCTTTTAGTTGATTGGAATCATCATGTGTCTACTGCCAGTTTACTAGGTAAACTTTTGGGAGTTGACTGGTTGTCAGCTAGGGCAATGAGACCACCTGGGCTCTGTGTATTTCAAGATGCAGCAAACCAATGCATTCTGACATGCATGGTGGCTGAGGAGAGAAAAGAGAGAGAATTAAAGAGAGAAAGCATGCCAGGCACCTCATAGTCTCAGTGCTGACCTGGCACACCATTGCTCTTGCCACATTCTGTTATTTAAAGTAGCCATAGGATCAGCCCAAGTTCACAGAGAGGAGAAAGACTCCATCTCTTTATGGGAGGAGCCTTAATGCAAAGGGAATGGGCACAGGGGGAAGATGGTGTTCATTTTTTGCAACCTACTTTGACATTTATTTTAAAGAGGTTATAGGCCATGGCATAAACTTACCCAAAATGAAGTTACATGTGGACATCTGAAATGAGAATTGTGGCCTTTCTCTTAGTTTCATTAGAGCTACTGGTCAGTTTGGGGAATGCAGAGAGTATTTCAGATACCCCAAAAGTTATATATACATCTTATAATTTCCTAAAACATTAAATTTAATGTTTTTAAGTAATTTTTAAAATGCCTCGAATTTTTGAACTGACTAAGGATTTCTAAGCAGAATAAAAATATCCAGTGTATGATTATTAATTTGTGTTTTCAGAGCTGAAATGTCTTCTTTAGGAAGTTTGCTTTCTAGATAAGGCGAGACTCATCTGCATAGGCAATCAGGTGGCTGAGTAGGGCCCAGAGTAGACGGGGAAAAGAAGAGGACTGTACAGGTAATGATGGGCTGATGCTCAGCTAGGAAAACGCCTAGTGATGAATGGCCTGATTTATAATTAGTGTTTCTGGGTACCTGTAGATGACTAAAGTGTGTGTCTCTCTTTTTTTAAGCTATGGATTTATTTGTATATTTAAATAAGCTTTAATTACATAGCTGATTGCCTTGAGCAAATAATTAGATTGCAGAGAAAGGAAACTTAAGGAATCCTGGAAAATATGAAATGCTTCTAGGCGTTGGTGGTACAGCAATGCCCTAGAGGAATTAAGGAGTGTCATAAAAGTATTTTCTTCTATGTTAATACAAATGAAACCATTCACGAATGTTGCTAACAGTTGTGTTACATTATTATATATTATACATTATTAAATGTTGTATACATACATATATGTTGTATGCATATACGTATGTAATACATGTATACGTATGTTTGATAAGGTACATGATTATTCATTTTTATTACTATTATTTGAAGTTATTGTGTCTAGTAGAATGAGAATGAGATCAGCATGTGTTGCTATACAGACCTAAATTTTGCTGTTACAAAGTCAGGAGTTTCTGGAATTTTCTTCTGCCAGTGAACTCCGGCACCTCTTTGGAATGTTAGGATAGCATTTGGTAAGTTGCTATTTCAGAGCAGTACCCTAATGCCCCCAAAGTTCACTTCTTGACCCCCGTGCAGCGTGAAGCAAGTAGAGCAGTCTGATGTTAGGTGACCTGATGAACGCTTTGTCCATTCCGGTAAGACTGAGGTCCGGAAGAGAGTCAAAGTATCTAATTGGGTCCAATCATAAGCATGGTCATGATCAAGATGGAGAAGGTTTTCACATGATTATATATTTCTAGCATCAAGCTCTTCTCTCTTCTAGAGATGTCACTGTTTTCTGCTAGTTTGTGCAACATGAAAAGTTCCTTGGTAGGAAAAGAAATGTAGCTCTCAACAGACACAGGAAATAAATCAGCTTGAAAAAGTAATATTTTTGGTGTTTTTCATAAATATGAAAAGGATGTCCTTAATGAGACATATGCAATATATTGTGTTCTGTGTTCTAGGAATAAATCCAGATCCACTACTGAACTGGATGATTACAACACAAATAAAAACGGTAAATGTGAATTTTTTTCAAAATTGCTTATTTATGCTATCACATGCTATGATCAGTATTTTTAAGGTCAAGATATTTCAGGTTCATTAAGATTACATAATAAAAATACCAAATATTTTTAGCATTTGTTTTTTAAAAACAAAACTATCTTTTGCTTATTTTGGCTTTACTTTATAATGGAGGGAATATTGGGAGGTTGAAATGGTTTTAAATAGCTAATGAAAAAATGTGGAAATTTTGCAAAGTGCTGCTGGTAGTGTTTTGTATAGTAGATTTCATCTTGCAGCCAAAGAAATGGGACAAAAAGTTTTCTGCAGAATACTACTAGGGGGCTTTGAAATTGTATATAAAGTTGAAGTTGTACATTTAAATGACAAGATGTCAAAAAAAATAAAAAATGATAATGATTCCACTAACTTGGTAAAAACAATTTGGAACCCGATATTTTTATTTGTAAAGTGCATTTCTAGGAATACATGTAACTGAGGTTATATAGCTAAAAAAAAAAAAAAAAAAAAACTAAGTAAAAAGCATCATCTTAAGCAAGGTTTGGATTTCAGGCTTTGGGTGAGCAGGATTTCAGCCAGTTATGTAAATGAATGAAGGTTCAGGTGAGGACTGAGGTGAACTTGGTCAACACGCCCATCTAAGTGGACAGCCACTTCCCAGCTCCAGCCTGTCACTGCCACGTGGGGGATTGTAAGCCAGTGATTACCATTTCTATCATAAGGGAAGTAAAACAAAACAAAAAAATCTGAATTGTACTGACAAGGAATTTAAAAAATTTAAAACCCTCCGTGAGCCAAACCACATCTATAGGTCTGAATGGTCTGGTGGAAGCCAGTTTGTCACTTCTTGATAAAGCTTATAAAATTTGCAGTTTTAATTAGGTTTTATGATCACCCCTTTCCCTTTCATTATCTGGTTCTCCTTTCACATTACAGCCTATTTTTCTGTTTTTCCCATTAGGAACTCTTAACTGTAACCAAATTGCTCTCTCTCAGTTCCCAGCTTATCAGGTGCTTTCTGATCTGGTTCTTCTGGTCTCACCTATTTGGATTTCTGGTTTCTTCTCCGCTACATTTGCCACTGACAACCATGAGAATTAAGGTTTAAGTACTTCAGTATGCCATGAAACATTTTTAACTTGCATTGATGATATTCTCTCCTGAACATAAGCACATGGGCTGTTAGTAATGGCAAGTGTGATTCTCTGCAATAGTCTTGTTAGTATTTGTGGCTGGCGTTATTAATCTGGTTGTTCTTGCAAGTACGTCTTCTCTCCTTGCCTAACTGAATAGCAGGAAGTCACTAAATATTTTATTGAAAAACTTGGTTGTGCCAGTAAGGTACTTTTAAAATAGAAAATGTTTCATTTAAAATCTGACCAAATTAATGAGCTGTGTGACACACAATATAGACATAGATGTGTAAAAGGAGCCTCTGGTGGCCTTATTCATGGCTTACTTGAAGATGAACTAAGGCAGACACACATCATGAATTTTGACAAAATGACAATAGCAGTGGATCTGGAGAGCGAAAGAAAAGAAATCCTTAGATGAAATTTCCTAATCCAAATTAAGGTGGGAAGGACACTTCGAAGTTATGGATGTTTTACCCAAATCAGAAATTAATTGGCAAATCCAATGAGACAAAGCCTTCAGGATAAAACCTGACTTAATTTTCATTCATAAAGTCAACATTCAAATTATAGCTTTGTCAGTTTCTTAGAGGAGAAACAACTCTCCTAACATCACTTGGCTATCCTTTGAATTACTTGGCTGTTTTTCAATTTCACAAAAGCCAGTTCAGTGATTGAATATGCTCTTATTTCTTCAACGTGGTCATGATTTAAATTCTGTGACTTAGCCTGGCTGGCATGGCTCAGTGTTTGAGTGTCGACTCATAAACCAGGAGGTCACAGTTTGATTTTCGGTCAGGGCACATGGCCAGGTTGTGGGCTCGATCCCCAGTGGGGGGGCGTGCAGGAGGCAGCCGATCAATGACTCTCTCATCATTGATGTTTCTTTCTATCTCTTTCTCCCTCTCCCTTCCTCTCTCTGAAATCAATAAAACAAATAAAAATAATTCTATGACTTATACCGTGGAGACTCAAGTCCTGGCATCTAGAGATGCATGCATGTATGTCTTCACTCTCTCCCCAAGGGAAGTGTAAGTATTTGAAAGAATAGAACTCCCAGTTCCCTGTGGAGTTGTCACAGCAAGCATTCAGTGAGCATGAGCAAGATTGATTTAATTTAGGGAGAAAGAGAAAGTGGAAGAGAAACTGTTTCTGGAGGAGCATTTAGTAACTTAATATTGCTGAAATCAGTGCTGGGTATTGCCTTTTCAGGCAGCTCCCTTAGTTTTCCCGAGTGTGCTCTGGGATATGCCTGTGGGTGTGGAACTGGAGTTCCCAGGAGTAGGAGACTATTGCTTTAGGTTCCCAGGCAGCAGCTTCATTGAGAATTGATAATCTTTGCATATGTGCATTATGTCACATTTTTTTGCTATGCCGTATTTGGAGATTTAACCACTGTCCTTTTTTGAATGTGCTAACCCTGCAGCTTTTGATGTGTTTTTAATTTAGAAAGCCATAAATATGTAGACCGAGTTGGGAGCAATAGCTCATCGCAGAGGGGCTCCAAGAAGGACCAAGTTCCATCAGGAGCAGAGCTGGAGAGGCAACAGATCCTTCAAGAAATGAGGAAGAAGACGTCCCTTCACACTGACAACAGCTGGATCCGACAGCGCAGTGCCAGTGTCAACAAAGAGCCCATTTGTCTGCCTGGGATTATGAGAAGGTGAGAGGCATTTTAGGAATTACTTCCTCTTCTGTGCTGTGACGCAAATATTTAATTTCTAGAGGGCTGGCTACTTTGGGCAGAAGAAATGTCATAATTTCTTCCCTTAATCTAAGATTTAGTGGAAGAGAGGGAAGTAGAGCGATGTCATTGGGCACTTATCAGGTGCCAGACACATGTCAGTTGCTTTGTCCTCATCATCTGACTTCATCTGGGGGAAATATTTTGAGGGAGGGAGAGTTCCTTCTGTTTTTCCACATGAAGAGACCATGGGTCAAGCAGGGAACACAAGTGGACAAAATTAAATGGCTAATAGGTTGTAAAGCTGCATGTAGAAGTCTGAAACTTGATTTGGGCACTTAAATAATTCATGCAGTTCTTGGTGCTTCCTTGGCTGCTGAACTTAAAAAAGAAAATTAAGCCTCTGTTTGTTTATAATAAGATAATGGTTAGATTGGAATCATAATAGTGTTCACAAAATGTGAAAATCTATTTTTTTTTAACTTTCCGAAACATATATAGATATAAATTACTTAGAGGTGAGAGGATGAACATTTTAAAAGATATGTCTTAGGTAAATTAATACTGAAGTTAATTTTATTCAGTATTTCCACAGCTGAGAAACTAAGGACAATTATTTGCAACATATTACAGGCAAAGGGCTAATTATCTCAATGAACTTTTGTAAATCAGTAAAAAAACAAAACCCTGACAACTTTATAAAAACAGACAATTGATATGAACAGATAATTCATAAAAACATAAATAAAGTCATTAAACGTATAAAAGATCAACTACTGGTAAAACAACAATGATATAACTCGCTTATGGGATTTGTAGAGAGTTAAATGAGTAAGTCTAGTATCGATGATTGTATAAGGAAACAGGAATTCTTGTTCCTGATTAGGTGGATAGCTATTTAGTGATCGTTAAGCAGAAGGTTTTTTTGTATCCTGTGAGCACTTTAGTTTCTGGCACTTTATCTTCTGGATATGTTTGGTTAAGTTTGCAAAAATATATCGAAGAATATATACTTTATTATTATTATTATTATCATTATTATTATTGGTTAAGCATACAATGATATATTGAAGAATATATATTTAAATATTATTTTATTGATTTTTTTGAGAGAGACAGACAGAAACAAAGACAGATTTGTTGTTCCACCTATTTTTCCATTCACTGGTTGATTCTTGTATGTGCCTTGACCAGGAATTGAACCCAAAACCTTGGTGTGTCGGGACAACACTCTAACCAACTGAGCTACCTGACCAGGGCTTATACTTAAATATTATTAAATATACAATTAAAAAAGAATATAAACTAATAAGGATGTCTCTAGTACTCGTTAATAAATAGTGGCACACTAATTAGGTAGAATATAATACAACTATTAAAGAATTGAAAGCAGCATATTGCTGAGTAATGCACCACCTCAAAACTTTGTGGGTTAAAATGATTCATATTTCACAGTTCTGAGGGTCACCTGGGCAGTTCTTTACATGATGTTAGTTGGGGCACTTGGGCAGGTGTAGTCATTCAGAGCTGGGGTTGGCAAATTTTTTTGTATGAAGACAGATAGTAAATAATTTACTTTGTAAGCCACGTAAGTCTGTTGGATTTTCTTTGTTGTGGTTGTTTTATGACTGTTTGAAAATATAAACTACCCTTCGCTCATGAGTTATACATAAGCTGGCAGTGAGCTGTATTTGCTGACCCCTGATGTAGAAACTCTGCTGAGAGCTCGGCTGGAACTGTTGGTTGGGAGCCTCAGTTCTCCCTATGGGCCTCTCCACATAGCTGCTTGGGCTGCCTCATGACATAGCACCTGGATTCAAAGAGGAAACCTTGCTAGATGATAAGCCCTAAAGCTTATTAAACCTCTGTATCATGTTTGCTAATGCCCCACAGGTCAACATGTCACGTGACCAAGCCTAGAATCAGTGAGGGGACTACACAAGGGCATGGATGCCAGGAGGGTGATTCAGGGGGTCCACGAAAGTACCATCTGTCACATGGACTGATGTGGAGATAGTTCTAAGATCACAAATATTACATGGAATAAAGCAAATTATGAAGAATATGCATTGTTGAATAACCCTAATTGTTTAAGAACGTTAAATACATCACATATATTACATATGTATATAGATATTGCTTTACTTACATATGTAAATTTGTATGCATAGGTACTTGTGTGCATACATATGTAAGAAAAAGTCTAGAAGGATACAATTAATAATGGCAACTTCTGGAGGTTAGGACAGGTAAATTGTAAGGGAGAGAGGGGAAACCTAATTCCTCCTTCACATACCCGTCTCTCCTGCTTACGCCTTTCTCATCATGATGGTGTAGTACTTATATAACTGTAAAAGAAAAAAATACATATTTCAAATTTGGGGTAAGAGATAACATAAAAGTGATAACAAAATTTGACAAGGTCGAAAAATACCCTCATAATTTGGAGTCATTCTCTGTAGATCAGAATTAATGTAAGTATATAACTTCATTTAAGATAGATTTCTCAAAAGTTTTATTTGCATGAGTTTCTGGTGGTGAGTGAATGTGGGCTACGCAGTAGAAATGGCCTGGATTACTTGCAATCAGAGAGACTTTGGTTTGAAAGCCAGTCCCACCACTGACTAGCTCTTTTGACTATGGACAAGTTAAATTCTGAGAGATCAAAAAATAAATAATTATACATAGTTGTGAAGATTAAATTTCAATATTTTTGTGTCAGTGTTTAGTATAATATCTGACATATGTAAGTGTCTAAAAAGGTTTTTGGTGGTTTTCTTGGGCTTGGTTTTAAAAATGAAGATTGATATGTCTAAACAGTTAAAGATTTAAAGAACAAATATATGTGGTCTTTGTCTTAGAATTTTATTTAAAAAATATTTTTCTTAGTATTTTTCTTTCCACTTTGGTATTTATTCTTTAATCTAAGCACCAAGTAAATAAAAATAGAAATAAATGAAAGTTAATTGAATATGAAATATCATGATGCCTCTGATGAAAAGAAACTTTAGTTTTAAAGGTAATTGAACTTATTAGATTAATACCTGCTTATAAAGTACATAAAGTTGAGATATATAGAGATATATATATATATATTTTAAATATATCTTTATTGATTTCAGAGAGAGGAAAGGAGAGGGAGAGAGAGAGATAGAAACATCAATGATGACAGAGTCCTTGATTGAGCCCACAACCAGGGCATGTGCCCTGACCGGGAATCGAACCCTGATCGCCTGGATCCTAGGTCCACGCTCAACCACTGAACCACGCCCGGCCGGGAAAAGTTGATATTTTAATGACTGAATGTGTTATATAATTGTGATTAATTCTTTCTGTGTTTCAGAGGTGAATCTCTAGATAACCTGGAATCCCCAAGATCCAACTCTTGGAGACAGTCCCCTTGGCTCAATCAGTCTACAGGGGTCTATGCTTCTTCCTCTGTCCAAGACTTTAGTCGCCCGCCACCTCAGCTGGTGTCCACATCAAACCGTGCCTACATGCGAAATCCAGCCTCCAGCATCCCCCCTCCTTCAGCTGGTCCTGTGAAGACCACCCCCGCACCATCCCCCACTCCACGTGGCCATTTCCCTTCAACTTCACCATTAGGCTCCCAGCCACGAAACAGGTGAGGCCCTTTGGGTTTCTCCTTTGCTTAGTTTCAGGGGTATTTTTTCATTAAAATTTCCTCCAAATCTTGTCCAAGCTTTCCAAAGACAGCCAAGCCTTCAAATGTGTCAAATTTAGTGTTCTTTTATCCAGTCAGTTGAGAGGGCTTTCTTAATAGCTTCCTAAGAGTATTGATGGATGTCTTGTGAAGCCACTGGTGACCTTTAACACACCAGCGTCATTGCCACTGTCTCACTGGCTGGTGCTATGGTCAGTGGCTTAGGTACAGATGTACCTGACTAGTTCTCAATATGGAATCATTCAGATATACAGTAGCTTAGGAATGCATTTGAAATTTATGAGTAAAAGCAGGATTGTAAAATGGTTGACTGTTTTAATGAGACAATACAAACTCATTTTGTAGAAACTAAGTGTAAAAGGAAAGCATTATAACCAAGCTCCATTGTCTGTGGAACTTTAAACAAGCTGGATAAAAAAGAAAAAAAAGTAGTTAGATATTGCTTTAGTGTTTTTGATTTCCAAAACCATTGCTTTTCTCTTACTGGTTTGCCAACATTTTGTTCAGGCTACATCAACTGATTCTGTAGGTCATATGCCACAGGAACTGTGTAAGGATTATAATAGTAGGTCTTGATTCAAAACTTGCCTTTTGATATGGGAGAAAGCTCAGATAGCAACATGCATTGGGTGTTTAGATCTGCTTAGCTTCTCCACAGATCATGATGCCTCATGAAGCCACACACAGCAGTGTTTCTGCTGTTACCTGAACGGAGTTCTTCTAGCATATACTGTTTCTCATGCAAGTGAAACTGAAAAATAGAAACACAATGATTTGATTGATATTGGGATTTTCTTTAGCCATCAAATAAGGGATTTTTCTTAAGAGAATATATTTTATATCCATCTAAAATGTTACTTGTGCCAGAATCTATGAAATATGTGCAACTGAGTTTGAATCAAGAGAAGACTGGGTGAGGAGGAAGATGAAGGCCATGCATGGGGGGAAAAAAGAGGAGAGAGTACTCACTTCCTGAGAGCCCCACCCTAGGAACACATAGGAAAAGTCTATTTAGGAGGTGGTGCTCTAACATGAGGCACTCCACAGCTGTGCACTTTTCAAAGCCACTAAAGTGCTATGCTAGTACTGTGGGATCCAGAGGTAAGAAGTGGCTTACCCCTTTCCACCTGGGAGAGAAGAAAAGACTTGTATCCAAAGGGAAGGAGAAACTCTCCTTATCATTCTAAATGGTAGCTGTCAGGCAATTTTTAGTTCATCTCTGCAGAAGCCATCCTGCAAGCCAGAGGCACAGTCAGGAAAGCACTGCTACTTCTGTTTAAATTGAATATTGGGTGAGTGAGAAAGAGGGTGGGAAAACAAGGTTGGGATGGTAGCTCACAGTGCCTCTTGGAAGAAGTTGGGGCTGCTCTTTTGTGTTCCGATGTGTGAAATGACGTGATTAGAGTCGTGCTTTAGAAGAGGGGGAGACTGTTGCTGAGTAGATGTGATTCTAAGGAAGATAGCGCCTTGAAGTGCAGAATGGACTAATTACACCAACGTTGTTCATTTATTGAATAGGTGTCAAGGGTTTATGAACCATCACGGAGATCCTTCAAGGTACAATATAATCAATGCACATTCTGATTGGCTGGTGAAAATTTTCCTCCCACAGATCTAGAGACTTTCCTAAATTGTTAATGTTAACCCCAGAGTGTGATTTTAAAATAATGACCTTGAGCTGCGCAGATGAAAGCCTCCATTCCATTCTCGTTCCACGTCTAGGTCAGTCAGTGGGAAGCGTGTGTGCTCCTACTGTAATAACATTCTGGGCAAAGGAGCCGCCATGATCATCGAGTCCCTGGGTCTTTGTTATCATTTATATTGTTTTAAGGTGAGACTAAGATGAACAGCCTCTGCAAGCCCGCAAAGCTTTGCTTGGAGAGCGCATGGCTGCTTTGCGCACTGGGTGTGGACTTGCCATTAACAAGCTAGGTGCTGCTGTATTTGTCAGTCTGTGCTGCATTTTGAATTTCAAATTGCTTGCTACTACTTAGTTCTCACATCTTGAGCCTAGTTTCAAAAATTGTAGAAATGCCTTGCATTTCCCATCTCCAATCTGTTAAGGTCCTGTTGGTAAAACTTACAGTGCATAAATGCATTTTCTATCACATGGCCGTAGGCATATCTGAAATGTAATTTACTAATGTCATTAACAGCATGGGGATGGGATGTGCAATTATAAAAGTGTCTAAAAGCCTGGCTTTGAATAGGAAGAATATGTAAGGAAAAGCATTGTAAATATTACAGTTGCACAGCCTGCTTGCACTTAATGGTTTCTTGCACATAGGAAAGAATTAAGGCGGTAACTACTCTATTTTGCAGGAACTGTCGTTAGAGACACATCTAGTGGGTTCTTGAACTTGTGTTGGGCCAAAGAGTGATTCCAGTTGTTGATCCTGGAGTCCCACAGACCACAGCTTGTTGAAGCTTATATATTCCTGGCTTGGTCTGTTTCTAAGTAAAGCAGAATGAGTCAAAATTATTAGTGTTTGAGCACATGGAACCAAAATGCCCAGCCTTGAGGTGAAGCGCCATAGGAAAACACTTGCCAAGCTGGTGCAGTAGGGGCACCGGGTGCGTCCCACCCCTGAGCTGAGTGCCAGAAACCCAGTGTTCATTCACTTCACCAGTTCTTTCATGGGGTGCTTTAGCCCCTCTTATTCCCTTGAGAGAAGTGAAGACCAGATTTCTTCAGTGAATCATTTTTGCTCTTTTGGTATATTTAGAGTGATCATCTTGGCTCTTAAATTGGCTTTATGAATCTTTAATATCTCATCTGGCAGGCTTGATTTTAATCTACTAATTATCTTTTGGCTTTTTTTTTTTTGGCTGAAACATATCAAACTGCTTAGAAGCTGCATTTTGCTCCCTCCCCCGCCCCCNGAAGCGTGTGTGCTCCTACTGTAATAACATTCTGGGCAAAGGAGCCGCCATGATCATCGAGTCCCTGGGTCTTTGTTATCATTTATATTGTTTTAAGGTGAGACTAAGATGAACAGCCTCTGCAAGCCCGCAAAGCTTTGCTTGGAGAGCGCATGGCTGCTTTGCGCACTGGGTGTGGACTTGCCATTAACAAGCTAGGTGCTGCTGTATTTGTCAGTCTGTGCTGCATTTTGAATTTCAAATTGCTTGCTACTACTTAGTTCTCACATCTTGAGCCTAGTTTCAAAAATTGTAGAAATGCCTTGCATTTCCCATCTCCAATCTGTTAAGGTCCTGTTGGTAAAACTTACAGTGCATAAATGCATTTTCTATCACATGGCCGTAGGCATATCTGAAATGTAATTTACTAATGTCATTAACAGCATGGGGATGGGATGTGCAATTATAAAAGTGTCTAAAAGCCTGGCTTTGAATAGGAAGAATATGTAAGGAAAAGCATTGTAAATATTACAGTTGCACAGCCTGCTTGCACTTAATGGTTTCTTGCACATAGGAAAGAATTAAGGCGGTAACTACTCTATTTTGCAGGAACTGTCGTTAGAGACACATCTAGTGGGTTCTTGAACTTGTGTTGGGCCAAAGAGTGATTCCAGTTGTTGATCCTGGAGTCCCACAGACCACAGCTTGTTGAAGCTTATATATTCCTGGCTTGGTCTGTTTCTAAGTAAAGCAGAATGAGTCAAAATTATTAGTGTTTGAGCACATGGAACCAAAATGCCCAGCCTTGAGGTGAAGCGCCATAGGAAAACACTTGCCAAGCTGGTGCAGTAGGGGCACCGGGTGCGTCCCACCCCTGAGCTGAGTGCCAGAAACCCAGTGTTCATTCACTTCACCAGTTCTTTCATGGGGTGCTTTAGCCCCTCTTATTCCCTTGAGAGAAGTGAAGACCAGATTTCTTCAGTGAATCATTTTTGCTCTTTTGGTATATTTAGAGTGATCATCTTGGCTCTTAAATTGGCTTTATGAATCTTTAATATCTCATCTGGCAGGCTTGATTTTAATCTACTAATTATCTTTTGGCTTTTTTTTTTTTGGCTGAAACATATCAAACTGCTTAGAAGCTGCATTTTGCTCCCTCCCCCGCCCCCCCAGGAGTGCCCCAACCTTACTTGAGCTCACTGATGTGGATTTTTTTTTGTACTCCAGTGTGTTGCCTGTGAGTGTGACCTCGGAGGTTCTTCCTCAGGAGCCGAAGTCAGAATCAGAAACAACCAACTCTACTGCAACAACTGCTATCTCAGATTCAAATGTAAGAGAGCAAATCAGGGAGAAAATTTCTAGTCTTTTAAGGAAACCACGAGTTCCCATGCATTTCCCTGACCCTGCACCCATTCCCCCCTCAAGCTCCCTGCCTTAGAACTCCAGGTTTCAGGAATCTTAGTGTGTACCACTCGCTTAGGGTACAGTGAGTGGGCCAGAGCTTGGGATTCTAGCCACACAGGGTAGGTTGTGGGGCTGAGGGACGTGTGCCTGGGAGTGAGGACAGTGCCCTGTGCATTCTGCTCAGAGTCTGGAGAAACTGCTAATGACCTGAGGATATGAACAAACCAAAAGAGACAGTTAAAATGAATTTTCAGTGCAGACTGTCATCTGTTTGTTGACTGCGGATTGTTCACTTGTCATTAGCTGATTTCTATTATTTAACTATGAGCTCTGATTATGTGATTTAGAATATGATCAACTTTAAAAACTGTGGTTTAAAAGGTCATAAAGGATAGTCAGTTTATGCTTTGTTATCATGTAATCATATATAAATATATACATTTTAGAAAGAGCATTAATTTTGATTATATGGTATTTCACTGTCATTTTTGGAAAAACTGAGTTTTTAAAAAACTTTGCGTACTACTTTGTGTCTAATCATGTTTTTGTTTGTAAGTGTGTTATGAACCTAGGATAGCATCATTAGATTGTGTATTGTTTATAGCTAAATAAAGACAACCATTACTGCTGTTTATATTCTGAACCTTGATGCTGGTAACATGTGTTTCTTCCTTATTGTGAAAGGGTATTACAAGTGGTATCAGCAAAACCCTTTGCTTTTGAACTCAGAGGTATTGGTATGGCCCTTTATGTGAAGAGTGCTTTGGAAATGGTTTAAGCCCAGTCAACTCTCTTTTATCTGTCAGCGGGGTCTGAGTCTTCTTACCCCAGCGGTCCAGTCCTTTTCTGGATGCTGCCACTGAGGTTGGAGAATGTCAAGGCTGGGTGTGTAACTGGGGGAGTGTGTATATGTGTGTGTGCTTTTCTCTCTTCAATCAAATTTCAAAGCCAAATAGAACTGATTTTTTTGGAATCGTCACAGAAAAACTGCCCATGCCTTTCTCCAATACAAATAAAAGAGAGTTGAGTGTAACTTACTTCTGTATCAGCAGTTATTTTTACTCGGTTTTTGCAGACAAAGACTTCTAGTACCCAGAGGCTGTGATTTGCCTAGCTTTATCCTAAGTGAGTGACAAGGTGACTCTTTCTACCTCACGGGGCCACTCTCTGAGTGATTACTGCTATGCATCCCAAACGGCAATATTCCAGAGTTTCTGACTCTAAGCGCTTTTCTTTCTTCTCTCCCTGCCTGATCAGCTGGACGGCCAACCGCCATGTGATGTAAGCCTCCATACGAAAGCACTGTTGCAGATAGAAGAAGAGTTGGTTGCTGCTGATGTAGATCTATAAATATATGTTGTATGTCTATTTTTTGCTCTCTTTTTTTAAAAAAGAATAACCCTTTTTTTTTTTTTTTTGCCTCTGTAGATTACATCAGAGCCGTATAGTCTTGGTAGAACCTGTATTTTTGTCATTGTTTATTTATAAGGAGGTAATTGTGTGGGGGGAAAAGTGCAGTATTTACTTTCTGAGTTCAGCTTCTTAAAAGCACAAGGGAGAAAAGAACTTCAAAATATTTTTGAGGCTGATAGTGATCAGTGGTGTTTTGAAGAGGGTTATTTTATTGTTTTTTTAAAGGTTCTGAAACATTATTTGAAATAGTTAATATAAATGTATAATTGCATTTGCTCTGTTTATTGTAATGTACGCTAAATTAATACAGAACCATATGGAAAATTTCATGAAAATGCACCCCCCAAATTTGCTTTCTGTATCCTTCTTTTAAACTATATATTATGATTTGAAAAAATTAGCTTATATAAAATTTTATTTGCTTGATGAGGGGAGCTCTGTTTTCTTCAGAATTATCACTAACCAGTTCCCAATAGAAAGCTGCTGCTTTTCATTAATGAAAAATCATTAGAGTTTGTACACCAGAAATTTTCTCCAGAGGCTAGTGAGCCTTTCTGTCCAACTGCATTTGTAAATAAAATTACTGATGCATTTAAGGAGTGGTTCTTTTTGTTGTTTTTTTCTGTGTGTTTTTTTGTGTGTGTCTACCTTCCAACCATTTTAGTCACATTTCAGCATGTGCTTTTCTTGATATTATGCCTTATTTAGCATCTTCACTGAGGTATAAATTGACATCATAAACTGCACATATTTAAACTGTACAATATGACAAGTTGGGACATTCGTGTATACCTCTGAAACTATCACCACACTCTTGATATTGTTTTTACTGAAACATTTTAACATGGAACTTTATTTTTGATGGAAAGCTGTTTTTGAATGTAATTATGTTTTTATGGTAAGAGGTGAAGCAAATGGTGAATTGTTGGATCACTTATATAAAATCTTTATTCTTTTGCTTCCATGGTGATAAAAGGAGAATATAACAGTGAGTTTAGAAAATGTACACAGTAAAAAAAATAGATATCTCTGGAGATGTTTTACAGTGTTTTACAGTCTGGAGTGGGGATGCAAGAATAAAAAACTAAAGCATGCTTTGAGAAAAAATATAAACTTGCTTGAATCCATTACAATAGTGAAAGTGGAGTAGATAATTCTAGGATATGAGAACTGGATTGGAATAGGCTAGAAATATACATGTGAAACTCCCGTGTGTGGGAAAATGAAAAATATAGTTCATTTTCATTTTTGTTTAGTATTCATTCTTTCTGATTATTAAAGTAATACGAATGTTTATTGATGAAAGTTATCAAATGCCCTAAAACATAAAGAATATAATTCTCAATTCCAGACTCCAAAGATGAGAACTCTGTGTTTGAACTCATTCTGTGTAATTTATCCTGCTGCATTCTTAGTTAACATTCTACTGTGAATTTTTTCAAGTTCTTAAAATCATTTCTATTTATCTTTATTAATGGAGCTCATAGTGCTCCATTGTTTGGTGCTATTAAGATTTAGTTGATAATTCCTCTGCTGTGCACATCTCACTTGTTTCTAATATTTAATATTTTAATATAAGAATATAGTTATATATTATATATGTATAAATATTTCTAATATAAATTCTATAATAGACTTTCTGTGATCATATCTATTTCTTTGTATTATTTTAATAGATATGAGATTATTGGTTCAGAGAGTATGTATTCTGAGGTTATCATGATGCATATTGCCAAAGTGGTTTCCCAAAAGTTGCTACTAGCTTAGACTCTCACAAGTAGCACTTGGGCTTGTCCAGCTCACCTCATGTTCCCCAAAGTGAATTTCCGTTGCCTTGTCTCTGCCTGGCATATAGTAGCCCTCAACATGCTGTAACTGAATAAATTAGTAAGCCACTGCTTCAATATTTGTCTTGTTAATTGTGCTTGTTCCTGCCTGTAGTGCAAGCTCTAATTCTTACCTGATTTTAGTTATTTTTATCCAGTATCTTTTCTGATCAATAATACTTTTCATCTGTCTTTTGTTTTTAAATATTTTTCTGTTGATTTTTCTTCTTTGCATGTTGACTTTTTCCTCTTGTTTCTCACATTATCTTGCTTAGGGGTAATAATTTTGTTAGTACAGATTGTTAGAACAACTTCCAGAGATTCTCTTGTAAGACACTGGTTCCATAGTACCTTTGAATAAGCCCATGAGTGTTTGTTACTTCATTTAGAAATAAGGGGAAGATTCAGTCCTCTAGACATTTTTTATTCAAGCTTTACATGCCAGGCACAGTAGATACAGCAACGAATAAATACAAGGCCTGGGCTCTGATTGAGCTTAGATTTGTAAAGAAATACAGAAAAATGTCACACGCATATTATAAGGGCACTGAAGAACAAATGATCAGGGTATGTGTGGGAAATGGAAGATTGGTAGTGCTTTTTCAGAGATGGCCTCTCTCCTATTTGAGCTAAAGCCTGAAGGAATGAGGGAGCAAACCTCCCAGATATTTGAGGGAAAGCATTTGAGACATAGGGAACAGCAAGTGTAAAAGTCTTGAGGGAGGAGAATATTTGCTGTGTTCAAGAAGAAATCATGGGGTTGGAATGGAATGAGAGAGACAGGGTGGCAGGAGATATGGAGAGGAAAGAGCACAGGTCAGCAGGCCATTGAAAACTTGGCTATTCCTCTGAATAGGGTAGGGAGACATTGGAGGGTTGAGCAGAGGAGTAAAATGAACTGACTTTTTAAAAGGGCTAGTCACTCTGGCCAGTGTGGCTCAGTAGTTAGAGCTTTGGTCTGCTCACCAAAGGGTCGTGGGTTCAATTCTTGGTCAAGGGCATGTAGCTGGTATGCAGGTTTGATCCCTGGCCCCGATCTAAGTGCATGCAGGAGGCAACCAATCAGTGTGTCTCTCACATCAATGTTTCTCTCTCTCTCCCCGCCCCCACTCCTTTCCTCCTGTACACTCTCTCTAAAAACCAATGGAAAAAATATCCTCGGTGATGATTAAAAAAAAAAAAAAATTTTTTTTAAAAAGGGCTACATGCCTGGCCAGGCATGGCTCCGTGCTTGAGTGCACCTAGGATCCAGGAGATCGCAGTTCGATTCCCGGTCAGGGCACATGCCTGGGTTGAGGGCTTGATCCCTAGTCGGGGGCATGCTGGAGGCAGCCGATCAATGACTCTCATCATTGATGTTTCTATCTCTCTTTCTCCCTCTCCCTTCCTCTCTCTGAAATCAATAAAGATATATTTAAAATAAAATAAAAAAGGGCTACATGGTTAGTGCATCGAAATGCAATTGATTTGTGTGTACTGATTTTTATCCTGCAATTTTGGTCCTTAAATTGGTTCACAGTTCAGCAATTTACATCATTTTCCATGTCTTTTATACTTTATGGAAAGCAGGGAGAGGCTGAGTCAGAAATTGCTGTCCAGGTGCCATATTAAGTGTAAGAAAGTTCTACGTTTAAATTTTTCATAAATATTCTTGAAAATTCTTTATATCCTTAAAGAGGTGATAGGTACAAATGTATATTCTCTAGCTATTCGTTTTGTCAATTTGAGAATTGCCTGTGTGCATGTAGGATCAATCACACCCCTCTTTCCTCCAAGTGCTGGGTGACTGGGAGTTGTTAGGAGTCGGGTATCAAAATCAGCAGCTTCATTTCTGCTGGGAAACCTCCTCCTTCCTCCTGCTTGAATTGAGTTTAACTGGTGAGTAGCAAAGAGAAGAGCTTTCTCCTCCATGGTCGTGGGCTAACCGTGTGGAGGAGAGAATGGCGTGGGGTCTGTACACGAGCAGCTTTAAAAGACAAGATCAAAGGGGCATTGAGGAGCCAGGACATCCGTGAGTGGCAGATTCTAATAGTCTGACCCAGGGAGGGTAGTAGTTGCCACTCTTCCCCCAATGGTGAGGAGCGATGAGTAGAAGAGGGAGAAAGGATGATTTCTTCAGCATTTTTGAGAAAGCCAATGCTTTTATTTATGGGTGGGCATGGCTATAGAGAAGGAGAGGATGATTTTACCCCCACGTACGTTAAAACCTGGAGCCGCTGCTGTGCTACGTTCAGGAAGGAGGTAGTGTGACAATCAGATTTGTTCTGGTCAAGGACTTAATCTTGGTGTTTACTTGAAATTTTCATTTACATCATAGGGTAAGAACTAGCAAGAGGAGGAGGAGGGAGGAGGAAGGGGAGGAAGAAGAAGGAGGAGGGAGAGGAAGGAACTCTGGACTGCAATGAATAAACAGAGTAATGCCTACTGTCTGTGAGAAACATGTCTCGCAGTGCACGGGGTTGGGAGTTTACTTGTGTTATTTAGTGCTTCATCCACCCTTGCAATCTGGAAGAAGGGTTAAAATGCACGCTAAAGCAAGTTTCAGGTTGTGGCCATGAAATTTGCATTTTTTAAAAACCTAATTTGTGTTTTCGATCCATGTGTATGGGACAGGAGAAAACCAACTCCCAGATCCTTGTCAAAACCGCGTAGGTGCTGGGAGTGTGCTGAGCACACAGCACTCCTTGCTCTCCTGTGGGGGAGAGGGGCTCGCACCTGAAGGATCCCAGTGCGAGGTGGAAGGGACCAGAGCTGTGAGAAATACGGCGAGCGAGGACCCATGAGTTATTTACAGCAGGGGAGTGAAAGCAACTTCACGGGAGAGTTGACATTTGACCTGGGCCTTTGAGAGCAGATACGATCTTAGCAGGAGCAAAGTATCATTTCTGTGTTGGGATCAGCCTCTGAGCGATTCCTCCTTACTGTGTGCTCCCATCAAAAGTGAGCACAGCTAGGCCTGTTTGGCAGAGGAATGAGAAGATACCTAGATACTGTGTGTCATAATGAATCTATGAAGCGGTGAATATCTGCCCTAGGGTGCTGAGGCTGCAAAAACAAAGTAAATTGGTATAAGAGATCATGACTCGAAAACATGACCGGACCTGAGCACAAGTGAAAGAGGAGCTCTGGAACCTCAAGCCTAGGTAGTTTAGAGGCAGATATTGTTGAGAAAGGAGATGAGCTGTTTGGATATGTTGTAGGGTTGATATATGAGTAGAAGTGTCCAACAGTAGCTGGTTTGGGTTACGACGGACAAAGAAATGGGGCCCATTAATGTTTGTTGCAGGCTCGAATTGACTTAAATAGAAGGTTTATTTCCTCACCTGAAAGGACGTCTAGAAGGCCGATTCATCTAGCAGTTCAATAATGTGATTGAAGACCTGTGTCATTCATCTCAGGCAGTTTGACCACTGCCAACGGTGGCCTGATTCAAATGCTAGTCACGACCATGGTTGCTTCCTGCTACCTTGTTCATATGCACTGGAAGCGAGACTGACTTCTCATTGCTCTTAAGTATATAGGGAAACTTTCCCAGAAGCCATTAGCAAAACCCCTCTCTTCCTACTGGCTAGACTTGGGTTATTGTCCCATTTTTTAACCAAGGGTAATTTCACCTCTTGGCAATCAGAACTCCCTTGAGATCAACTTCCAGATCATGCTACTGCTCATTAATGGGAGTCTGACGGCGTAAATGTTGGGGAGTCAACCACAATACTGACCATAGTTAGCTTTTATGAATTCCCAAAAGTTGAGTATTTGCACTCTTCAAGATC